CACCTCATATTACCTATTTTTTAATCTTTATTTTGTGCCTGGACCTAGGTCCTGGGCGCCGCCATCTTTGTATAGGAAGGCCCTGTGGGACATGTCATCTGCCCACACTAGATAGCGCTGTAAAATTCCCAGTTAAACACTGGGGTATTTGCTATTGTCTGAAATTCGGATGGGATATTTGTCTATTCATTCATTCTTCAGAAAGATGAATGAATAGAAATTTCAGACGAACAAACAAAGACCGGATGTCGGTGTTCATTTGTTCAGTTAATTACTGAACAAAGCAGCTCCCTCCTTGTAATATGTAAAAAGAGAAGTGTCAGGGAGCAGTTCTCCCCGCCACTTCCTAAACCCCCCATGTCCTCCCTCATTCTATGGGGGTAAATATGACCCCTATATTAGCATAAGGGAGATTAAAATCTCTCGAATGCCCCTACTCGCTATGCCCCCTCCCTTCTAATAAATGGCCCTCATGGTGGGGTATCTATTAACTAGCATGGGGGACAAAGTGTCCCCGCGAACCCCCATCTGTGCCCCGTGAGTGGGGTCTATTCAACTAAATGGGGGACATAGGGTCCCTCCTGGCCCCCACCCGCCGCTCATGGGTAGGGGCCTTAAATGACAATAAGGAGGGACATAGTGCCCCCCCCAGCCCTCCACCCATCAGCGGCAGGTGTGGGCCATAAATGAGAAATGGGGGGGATCTATTGTCGTCCCCCCCAACCCCCACGTATGAGCGGCGGGTGGGAGACCTAAAAGACAATGGGGGGGAAGACCTTTTGTCCTCTCCTGGCCCCCACCCTAAATGAGAATAAGGGAGGGACTCATTGTCTCCCCCCAGCCCCACCACAAAAAAATAAAAATAAAGCCCTACCTACCGCCCTCAACCTAAAAAATAGTGAGGGAGGGAACAAAAAAATTAAATACCTTTAAATAAAAAAAGCCACTGGCTGCTCACTGTTTACTAGACATGCCCCTAATCACAGCATAGCGAGTAGGTGCAGATTAATTACTAATACTGAGTAATCTTTGTATTAGTAAAGTTGGCTGAAAGACCAATCTTGGTCTTTCAGCCTTTTGGGAGATAGCTACCTAATACTGTGGCAATTAGGGAGCTATCTACTAAGCGGCAGCAAGATGCAGCTGCGGCACGAATAGGATCGGCATTCCATTCATTCAAATGAAATTCCGATCCGAACAAAGTCCTGAATTGCATCCTAACATGAATTGACAAACTGTTCTTATTCTGTTAGGACGGAATTTGGTAGTTTCGCCAGCGTTCTGTCTAAATGACAGGACGTTCGGGAATAGTGTAAGCAGGCCTCGCAAAATCACGGAGGAAAGGGTGAGTATTGTGGGAAAATTTCTCTGACCCACTTGAGCTGGTCAGTCGTAGGAAAAATATATAAGACAAAGTAGTCCCTACTTTGTTTTAAAGAAAACTAGAGCAGGCAGAAGAAAAGAACAGATCCTGAGAGAGAGAGAGAGAGAGAGAGAAGAAGAATAATCAATTGGGGAAAGGTAAGTTCAGCATGACAGTCCTGTCTAAGTCAGTCGGTGTGATATTGTTTTTATCATTGTGTTTTGATCATTTTCAATATTTTACAATGTATCTTATTTGTATTTATATTTAAATGGTTACTCCAAGTATCATAATCACCACAGCCCACTGTATGCCAGATGCACCCTGGACCAGTTCCCTGATAATAGTAACTGTTTGCCTCTTACCATGGTCACCACCAGGCACTGAGGCTCCTTTCTTCCTCAGTGCTCAGAGCTGCACAAGCCAATCCAGTCGGCATTCATTGGCAGAGAGCATTTTCTTACTGTTGTCAGACAATAAATAGCACACTGTGCAAATGAAAGTGTGCAGAATTGACATTAGCCAGCCTAGCACTCTTGTTCTGGGCTAATGACTCCCCTATGGTGCTGTCAGAGGTGGAGTAATAAATTCATCAGCCAAGGGGTTAAATTCGGTATGTGCAACGTTTCATAGGAAAACGCTGCACATTCAGACTCCAGGTACTATGACCACTTCCAATTACTGAAAGTGCTCATGGTGTTTGGAATAACGTTTTAAATAAATTTACATTAATCAGAAAATATAATAATCTCTCTGAAGACAGGGAAACAATTATAATATATGAAAATCTAATAATTATAATATAAGAAAGCTGAACTGCCATCTGAATAGAGTGGCCACCTGGTATTTTACCAGCACAGCTGGTGTGTGAGGCTGTCTGCATTTCTAGTATTTTTCTCTGACTGGACTCTGGGAGAGTGGGGAGAGAAATGGACCTAGAATATACTGGCAGGTACACACATTGCTATATACACACAATGGCACATACCTCCACTCAGTCTGTGTGTATGTATAGCAGTGTGTGCATACTGTATCTGAGTGCATGTGTCATTGTGTGTTTACTAAGTACACACAAAGTCAGACACATTGTTATACACAGATTCATTCAGTATATACATACACACACAAACGCTAAACACAGTATACTACACTCACACACAGACAGTATACACACATTGACAGACTGCTACAAACACACAATATACACACTCAGAAACAGTATATACAGATTACTACTACTACTACTACATGTAGAGTCTGACATAGTACAGACATTGCAAGTCCTTTTTTTTTGTGATTTATGGGATTTTTTTTTCTATGTTTTCAGATTTTTTTTCTGTCACTCTCTGTGATGTAATGTAACATATGGGGATGTCACCTCCTGTTAGATCAGACATATGTAATTAATTATGAAAATTAACATGACTTTTTCTTACAATAAGGATGGCAACCTTACATATGAATTATACACTCCATGAATTGTTATTGTGTTATTTATAACTTTTTAACATGTTCTCTTTAGAGCTAAAGAAAAATGACCCCTTACAGGACGATGACTACTAGTCAAGTATTCCAATATTGGTACAACTGATGGTAGCAGCACTGAACAACCAACCAACACAATCACATGATAATGTGACTTAATTCCTAAAATACACTTTGATGCCATTTCACCAGTGTGTTGCCATTAGGATCAACGTATTGTTATAAAGCACTGTAAGTCTCCACAGCATGAAAATGTTGACCAGACATTGCACCATGGGAAGTATCTGAAATTTGACCCAAATTACTGAAACTTTATGTCCTACTTATTTTATCTCTGTACCATTGTCAAAAACTCTAAGAATGCTAGATTACATTTTGTGAGTCATAGGACTAGTTTGATTATGTTTTTGCACTGTGTTGGTGGTAGTGTAAACATTAAACAATAATGGGGCCAAAATAACTAATCATAATTTTAGATTTGTGAGACCAGGATCCTCCAGGCCAAAGTTAGAGAATAATAGTCATTGCCTATCTGTTTATGAGCAGTCAGATTATAAGAAGTACATTTTACAACTTCAAACCTTCTAATAAGGTTAACAAGAAAAAGGAGAGACACTACAATGGGTTATGCTTTATCAAACATGGCATGCTAAAATGCATATTAAGAATGAATGGCGTTAAATTGACAACTATAACCACTCCACCATGAGGAAGAAGACAGACTATAGGAAAAGGTTTTACACGCAAATAATGCTTGCTTGTGCAATTCTGTTTGAATGGTTTCAGTTCACCTTTTTACTAATGAGTTGTGTGTGTATTTTTTAATAAACATTCTGTATTGATCACTGTAAACAGCATCATTGGTTTATCTGGCCCACTTGGAGATGATTTATGCCTGAATATGGCGCTCTGTATGTGAATGATTTACAGAGCAATATGTACTAATATGTACTAAGGTATGGATTTTTTTTTGTATCTCTAATATGATATATTAAAGCTCTACTTGATTGTTTTAGAGCACCCAACACACTTATTATATTATAGTCCTATTGTCTGCATATTGCAGCACAACCCAATATTCTTCAGACGGGGCCAGTGGTCTACCAATTGGATGTTTTTTGTTTTTTTTAAATCACAATATTTTATATAAACACTAGAGACTGCTTTGAGTGAAAATTGCAGGGGGTCTGTGGTTTCTGAGATAATGGCACTAATCACACCATACAAACAGTCAAAATTAAATGAAGACACCCTAAAGCAATTTAGCTTGCTGAAATGCTTTATATGTGAAGATTGTGGGGTTTTTTTTTTTTTATATAATTTAATCTTGTTATACCCCCTTAGCAGTCAGACAGCTCAGGGGAGATAAATTTGTTCTTCCCTTATCTGTACTTTGTATATATTGTGTTTTTTACGGCAGCACTACAACTGAGAAATGCACATTCCAGGTGTGCCCCCAATTCCTTTTTTCTGAAATAACCAAAAAAAAAACCAAACACTCAGAATACATTAGATGATCAGTGTTTATCCTCAACAGAACAGCGGTTTAAAAAGAACTTTAAAAATCACCACTATGCTACCACGAAACTAGTGAGCTCCAGGGCTCCAAGAGGTTAAACTGTAGTATGCAGTAGTGTGTGTATGTGTGTATGTGTGTGTATATATATATATATATATATATATATATATATATATATATATATATTCCATTAGATTCACTTTCTAATAAAGACGAAATGCATATTCATAACCCGGCCCCAAGGGACACCAAATAAACACAGCTCAACAACAACAACAACAACAACAACAACTTGGTGATCTAATGAGAGGATGGCGATAACTGTGTTTTGGGAATAGAGATATGACATCATTATACACTAGATCACATAAGGAGATGCATTCAATGGAACCATTTTACAAATGCACCAAATAACACAAGAGAGGGGAGTTAGTGGTGGATAAGAAGAAGTACTAATGACCAGTATTCATAACTTTTATTGTATGTCAAACAAGAAACAGATGTGCTACAGCCTTAAAGAACAGATTCTAGAGTTTCATGATTCCATCTGCTTTTCAATGAAATCAGTCATTGGCAGAACCTGCTCCAGTCTCTAACCCAGTCTGTGTTCAAGTCAATCTTCCATGGTTCGCCTTACTGGATAGAGCATGACTTCTTATTCCTGGTAACCTTTTCAGCTCCTTTTCCATCCCTCATTTTCTTCAGTGTTGCCACGATCTAAGACCATACAAACGTTAGAAATATTTTATCCTTACTGAGACCCCAACAAGACAGCAAATGTGTTTAAAAAAAATTAAAAACATACACAATATGGTTGGAAGGCACGAGTCTGCAAAATTTTAACAGTACTGGAAGTGAGTTATCTGCTCCAAATACTGAAAGTCAGTCGCTAAACAATGACTTCTATCATTTTCTATGGGAGCCACTGATCAGTACCTAGTGACTGCTTACCAACCCTGTTTACAGCTACCCCACCCAAAACGCTTAACAGCAGTCGCCAGCCTGGTTTAGAGGTTACTGACACCTAAAACCCTATACGTCAATTGGTTAATTTTTTATCAGTCAGGTGCTACTAGCCTGTTATTGGCTGCCGAGGGTGAAGTGTGCATGATCTGGTGTGTGTTTCTGGGCTGCCAATATACCGTAAGTGGTTGGCATCTGTTGCTGCAGCCATTATAACAGCCAAAAAACAAACAAGAGTCCTGCGCATCCAGTATTGGTGTGCACACCCAGGTGCTACCACAATTTAATTGAGGACAAAGTTTAAGCAGCAAACGTTTCGGGCAGCAGCCCTTTCTCAATGCTAATATCCTTTAGATTAGATAATGGACATTAGCATTGAGAAAGGGCTGCTGCCCGAAACGTTTGCTGCTTAAACTTTGTCCTCAAATAAATTGTGGTAGCACCTGGGTGTGCACACCAATACTGGATGCGCAGGACTCTTGTTTGTTTTTTGGCTATTGTATATACACTGTTGGGACAACAGTGTGGAGTTTCTGCAGCACAGGTCTAATTTTCTTTTTTTATACTTTGAGTTCTGTAGGCATTTTTTGCCTCTACCTCACCCTAAATATAGTGCAGCCATTATAATAGGATAGAAAAAAAAATGTAGCAGCAAGTTTGTAAACCTGGTGCAATTTGTACCTGCTGCAGGTTACCAGCTATTTACTGACGGGGTTGTAAATAAGCCTTTAGTGTACTCGGATACACTTTGCTATACAGTACACCACTTTCATTAAGACATATTGTGTATATGTAAATACCAATGTCCTAAAGATTTGTTTTGTTTTTGTTTTTTTAAACAGGGAAAGGGGTTTATTCACCAAGCTATAAAGAAAATATATCGGTGTTGCTGCTATTTAGGCAATTATTAAATGTCATTGTTCTAAGTTTAAAGTGAACTTGTCACGCCAAATTCATTTTTCATTAAATATATATAGTGTGAGTCTGTGAATGTGATTAAAACAAGGCCATCTCACATTCAAAGTATATACGAATCAAAAGTTATAATTATTCAAACATATTTACTGTAGAAATGCTTATACCATTATATTTTTAGAATATGAAATGTGTTCTATATTACAATTCAAACTATTCTCCAACACCCTCCTATTCATATGGCTGTTTGATATTCCTTTCACTTTAACACTTACATCTTCGGCATATGGAAAACCACCACATTCTAGTTTGGAAAAGATTAGCTGATCATTTACTTTGACTTCAAAGCTTCCTGTAAAACAAAGGGAAATGGAATCATGAGGGAAAATACATAACAAAACAAATGTAACAAGGAATAAACCTACAGATAGTGCTGCAGAGAGGGAGAAGTCAGAGAGGCAAAACAAATAAAAACAGGGCAGGGAGTAATCAATCTTGGAATTTAACCCAGGTAAAAATGATACTACAGAGAATAGTGAACATTTGTTATCTGTTAAAAAAAAAAAAAAAAAATTATATATTAAAGTCCCTTAATGACCGGGTGCTAGCAAACCATGGCTAGTAGAATCCATCTTTGTAAACTGATTCCCCTCTCACCCACCCCATGCTTATTTCCTCATTTATAGACAGTCTCCCACACAACTTTCAATCTCCTGAAATGACAGGTGCAAACACTGATCAGCACATCCTTCCAATCTCTTAACCCTATAGAACACATACCCTCTCTCCCTACAAATAGATATATCACACACCAATACTATATACTTTTATTTAAATTTTTGTTTTTCGCGATTTCTGTTTCATTTTAAACTACATACCTCATACCACTAACATGAATCCAAATATAACCATACTGATATTCTTAATAACCCTTTTCTCAATCCAATTTTGTTCACATCACTACCAGCATAAGCACACACCTCAATCTGGAACACAAATTATCATACACCATGGCCTGCTCTGTTCCTGTAACTTATCTGCTGAGTGCTGGTGGAGAGTTATAAAAAAATAGCCCTCCTACCCCCACCTCACAAAATTATAAAGTATCCCATTCACTATATGGCCAAACAAAAATGATGTCCAAATTCCTATTCCTTATGTTACTTGCCCTTGCAAATTATGTGGAGTCTAACCCTGGTCCCCCAGCTAATTCTAGTCCTAATTTCCCCACTAAAAAAAGGCCTATTGGGCACTGCAACATCCATAGTTTACTCCCTAAACTGGATGCAGTGCAAGCCTGGTGTTCCCATTACAAACCAAAAATCATTGTGCTCTCAGAATCATTGTTAACGACTAAAATACCAGACACCGTCATTGCAATACAGGGGTATTCATGTTTTAAAAAAAAAAATTAAAAAAAAAAAGTCATTAAAAAAAAAATCTTAATATAAAAATGAAAAACCAGTCTGGACCTGATCAAATCCCAGCAATGCTGTTGAAGCTCAGTGCGCCGGCAATTGCTAAACCCGTCGCAACTCTAACGAATCCTTGGTGTCTGGATACATACCCAAACTTTGGAAGACTGCAAAAGTAGTGCCTATCCATAAAAGTGGTGACACTACTTTGGTTTCTAACGATCGCCCAATATCATTGCTCCCGGTATTGTCAAAAATCTTAGAAAAATGTGTCCATACGCAACTATGTCAGTACTACCAACAATCAAATTATCTGACCCCTGATCAATATGGCTTTCGCCAGAATCACTCCACTACAACTGCCCTCTTAAAAGTTTGCAATGACATCCAAACTGGCATGGAACAAGGAGACCTAATTGGAGATATTTTCCTTGATTTTGCTAAGGACTTTGACACAGTAGACCACACATTCTACTGCACAAACTCAAAACCTCAGGTATTGGTGATTGTCCACTAACCTGGTTTCGATCGTAAGTATCGGATCGCTCGCAATGTGTGTCCATTTCTGACAGCGACTCCCTCCCTCTCACGTGTGTTGTTCCCCAAGGTTCCATTCTCGGCCCCCTACTATTTACATTATTTATAGATAATCTACCTAGTGTCTGCAAATCCTCAAATATACACATGTACACAGATGACACAGTAATCTATGCGAGCAAAACCGATCTACCGCAGCTTGAGGCTGTGCTCCAAGACCAGTTTAAAGAGGTAGAAAAGTGGATCGCAAAAAACAAACTCTTCCTGAACACTGACAAAACTGTCACAATGATCTTTGGAACAGTACCTAAATTAGACAAATTACACAATTCCCACCGATCCATCAAAACAAATTCAAATGGCACACTGACCGCAGTCCACTCTTTCAAATACTTGGGTATGATGTTAGACCCCAATCTATCTTTTGGCCTGCACATGGAAAAGCTTGCATCTAAACTTTATCCAAAACTAGGTGCTCTGTACAGAAACAAATCCTGCCTAAGCCCTACAGTAAAGGAAAAGATTGTACAACAAATGCTGATGCCAATCATTGATTATGGGGATGTAGTATATGCATCTGCATCGCAATCCCACATTAATAAACTCAATACATTGTATAACTCGTTCTGCAGATTTGTGCTACAATGTAATTACAGGACTCACCATTGTGACATGCTAAAAGAACTAAACTGTCTGTCACTGGAATCCACCCTTCATCTTTCCAGCCTTGAGTTCAAGAGCTTTTCTGGGAAACTCAAACCCTATCTGAACAAAATGCTTTCCCCAGCTGTTCCCACTTCCTATAACCTCCGATCCAGTACCAACACTTTACTTCGTCTACCTCAACAGGAATGCTGTAACCAACACCTCCAATCTCATCTCATTGATTGGACTCCAGTTGGCTGACATCTCACTCCAATTAGCTCTTGGAGATGTCATTAGTCTATGGGGTTCACATACTTTTTCCACCTGCACTGTGAATGTTTACATGGTGTGTTCAATAAAAACATGGCAACAGTTCATTCTTTGTGTGTTATTAGTTTAAGCAGACTGTGATTGTCTATTGTTGTGACTTAGATGATGATCAGATCACATTTTATGACCAATTTGTGCAGAAATCCATATCATTCCAAAGGGTTCACATACTTTTTCTTGCAACTGCATTTCCTACCTGTTCTATGTTAAATGTTGTATATATTGTGTATTAATATTGTTTTTGTATTTTATTGTACCCTAATGTAACAATGCAATGATTTGTGGACCCAGGACATACTTGAAAACGAGAGAAATCTCAATGTATCTTTCCTGGTAAAATATTTTATAAATAAATAGGTATCAGCACTCTCGGAATTTAAAAGTCCAAAATTTATTAGTTCAAGGTTAAAAAACGATCAACGTTTCAGTCCTGGACAGAGGACTTTCATCGGGATCAAAATGGTATTTTGATCCTGATTTAAGTCCTCTGTGCAGGACTGAAACGTTGATCGTTTTTTAACTTTGAACTAATACATTTTAGACTTTTAAATTCCGAGAGTGCAGATACCGGTTTACAAAGAGAGTGTATGTATATATATATATATATATATATATATATATATATATAAAAAGCACATTTGTAATGGTATTTACTTTAAAACAAATTCTTAGTCTAAATTCGCTAATAATCAAAAAAAAAATAAATAAATATATATATATATATATATATATATATATATATATAATTTTTTTTCCCATTCTTAATTGCTGGGTTCCACGCAACAGTGTTTTTCTAGCAGACCGACATGGTACACTGGTGTGCAACTAAACACACCGACGTCAGGACTGTAATAGCTTCCAATGTCACAATTAAAATCAAATCAAATTGGCTATAGGTATGTAGAGCTCCCTCTAGTAAGGAAAAGTACATTCATAGTCTAAAAATGTAAGATTAAAAATGAATGAATGAATGAAAAAGATATGCCTTGGAAATTTTCCACTGAAATGTGCCGTGGTCGAAAAATAAATTGGAAAGCACGTTCCCACAAAATCCTTATTTAAAGGCTTTTCAACTTTTTTTCCCCCCCTTTTTAAATAAACAGTAGTGGCATATATGTGAAGGCTTGGCCTGCAGTTGTGGGAGGGGCATGTTAACCTATTTAAACCCCCTCCTCAGTCCCGTTTCTGTTTTGACGTTTTGCATGTCGGGTCGTCCTTCCTCTCCTTTCCGGCTCCTCGCTCCTTACATGGGGTCTCCGTGCTTGCCGCTCATGTCTCGGGGGGTGGAGGGGGGGTGTTGTCTCCGCTGGCGGCTCGGGTGCCGCTCCTCTCTCTCCGGCGTTTCAGGCTGTCAGCCCCCTCGCTGCCGCCGGCGCTGTCACGAGTCTCGCGTCACACTCACCGTCGGTCGCACCTCCATGCGGCCATGCCAGCATTTGTCGGATGCAGCGTTTGGGGGAGGTAGGGGCTTAGACATAGCTCGTCTGCCTATGCAGGACCCTTCCATCAATATCAGTGAGTCAGTTTTTTGTGTAGTGGGAGTGTAATTCTAGCGCTGTAATTACCAGTTTTAATGGAAGCTTGCCCCTTTTCTCCTGTGTTAGCAGTGTGTATATTTGATTAATTAATTAATTAATTATTATTTTTTTTTTTTTGCATGGTCAGTTGTCTGGTGCGAGCATTCTCTAATGTACACTGTAATTTGTATAACAACATAATGTGTTGCCAGCCTGTATGTGTTATTATCTGACTAGATATATTTTATATTTTAAAACCTTATCCTTTCTTGTTACACAAGAACTAGCTTTTCAGTTTTCCAACTTTCCTCAGCTGGAATCTTACTGTTTCCAAAATAATTTCGAGTTCTGGATGCTTTCTAAGATAACACATCCATGCAGGGTCTGATAAGACTAATCCCATTGTGGAACTCGAACTGAAATTCCCAAAGAAATAACTTTTACCCCTTATATGCCAAAACGTTGACAACGGATAGATTGCTGCAGCTTTTACCCTGCATTCATTGTTAAGTATCCTCATGGTTGCTGTGTTCAAACTACAGGCTGGGGGAACCGACAGTTAGACGTGATGTATAACACTCTCACGTGTTCCTTCCTCTGAATTGTGGGACACTCACCCTCTCACCCATGGTTCACTCACTTTGTCGTTAGACTTGCCTGTCTGCTGGTGCACAGAGGGTTAGAACATTTTGTTAAACAAGTTATGTAAACTATAACTTTTGGTTCGCATATTCAGCACAAACGACAATCTGTGCCCGTCATGTGTGCACGGTCTACCACTCTCCTTTTCCATTCTAATTGGCTGGACTCCGTCGGGCTCTCGCTGCCCTCCAGTCGCGGTTGCCCCTTCGCTTCTTTTTCATTCCCTGCCCTCTCTTTTCTTTCGCTCAGTACGTCCCCTCTCTCAC